CTCTTATTCTGCTGTAACCAATGATATTCTTTTCGAGTAATTTGAAGTAATTTAGTGAAAAATAATAAAAACAGCTAATAAAACGCATTTATTGGTAGAAATTTCAAGTAAATTTTTATTTAACTTTTGCAGAAAACATTTAGATTTACTAATTCTGTTGGAAAAATCCAGCAGAAACCCACCTGGATCACAGAGGATAGGCTGACATGTGTTACAGTGTTTTTGTCTGTTAGGTTTGTCTGTAWAAGTTCCTTCTTCACACGGCACACAAGCAGTATTCATGACCTCTGAACAGTCTCTTATTACTCGACTTCCTGTTGGAAAACAAAACAACTTTTTAARTGAAAGTAATGTTTTAATTTCAGCTGCTCCTTTCTTTCTCTTAKAGGAGATTTAGAAATTGTAAGAAATATATAAATCTCTTCCAGTCTTTCTTTAAGAAACTTTTTAAATACTATAGTAAAGAAGAAAAAGGAAAATAAGAAGGGAAATGAATTCTTAATCTGTGTATCATTCGTTCTTTCTTGACATGTAAAAACTGTAAAGAGAGAAAGAAACTTTGTTTTTTAACAGGAGTTTCTCAAACATTTACTGACCAACACAAGATTTTCATCTCAGAAAACAATACCAAATCATGTTTACCATCAAGTAACTTGGTAATGATCTGTATCTGTATTAGCTATGCTAAGGAAAAACAGAAKATGTATTTAGTTTTCATATAAATAAATAAAGTTGACAGAATATATTGGGTTCACAGTGTCTGCAATAAAAAGGGTGAAAATAAAAGTAAAACTCAGTGTTTATTTTATTATCTAACATTCAGGAGGATCTTACCAGAAGGACACAGAGGACAGCATCTATCTTCAGTCTGATACTCAGTCTGATGGCAGGTGAGGGACAGAACACTGCAGACTGTCAGTGTTACCTGTGGAGATAAAAACTTATTTTACAAGAAGAGATAGAAACTTAATAAGACTAATGTATGCTCCCTGTTTTACTGATTTTGAACTAAAMTTGTTTCAGGGCAGGTTTACCCTGAAGGGAGACCAGGTTTTAGATGTTTTTGTTTATAAACCATGTAGCAGTAAAAACATCATACTTGTTCTCTTCCAAGTTTTTCTTTCTGTAGAAACTCATAAAGCAGGAAGATGGTTTAGTTACTGTAGTGAATTTCATGTACTGTGCCTTTAAGAAATGTGAACGCGCGTCCGAGCGGGTGCGCGCCCTTTGTTCAGTCCAATTTTACATCTCGCTGTGATAAGCTGTTCCCATCTGTCTCGCTAAATAAACCTTGTCCAGACGCTGAAGATTATCGTCATTTTTTCATTCAACATTCAACAACTTTCAGGCAAGACGTTCTCTGATTTTCCAGCAACCCAGTAGCACCAGACGAGGAGAGACGGAGGGAACAGCCGGCAGACAACCTCAGAAGAACCGAACCGAACACAGCATAAAATGGCGTCAACGAACAGGCCTGTACAGTCTTAAGGTTAATATTGAATTAGCAGGGGTATTATTGGCCATATTTACTTCTGTTTTTTTTTATTTTTATGCCTCAGAGACTCAGGACGGTTCATATAAGGTTTGTCGGCTGGTCACAGCGATGGGCTCCGTCTAATGTCTGGAGTTCTGTCTTTGTTTTGTTTTCGTGTGTTCAACCTTGCTAAGTTATTTGTTATTTTTTGTGACGTGTTGCCCGCCGCAGGGATTAAGTGTGTGTTCTCTGGCAGTTTATGTGTAAAGTACGCGTACTTTTGAAGAAAAAGTGTTGAGATGCATCTCTTGTATTGAGTTTCCGCTGCACCTCCGTGGTTACAGGACCGGGTTGGTCAGAGAGACGTCTTTGTCACCCGGGTAGCTGCTGGTGGGCGCGATGAAGTGTTGTGTACGGGGCCGTTCAGCCTGATCTTTTGTTATCTCGCCCGGATAAAAGTACCCGGTTGCAGTATCTTCTGAGGCCTAAGTACTGTTTAATTCCGATGAAATAGGCCGGGGAGGTAGCGGGAAGATTGGGTGGTGGAGGCTCCGTCTAGTTACTGGAAGTTTAAAGGGGACATGTCATGGTTTTTTTTTTTGTTTTTTTTAAAGTTCTGTTCAAGCAAGGGAATACAGGCCTGTGTGTTTGTCTGTCCTAAATGTGTGTTTGATGTTAATTGTGGGGTTTTGTTGTTTATTTC